TGTCTCTTTTAAAAAATTAAAAGTAAAAAAATATTTTAATAAATCAACTAATCTTAAATTTTTATTAATTCAATTGTGATTGAATTTAAGAAAAAAGTGAGAAACAGTAACATACATAGGCGTAGAACATATCAGATTACAAAAATTCACCCCTACTTTATATTTTAAGAGAATACTAATTTTATAAAAATTAATAACGCAATGATCTCGTCTCCTTATAGGAGGACAAATAATTCATTAAGCCATAATTACCATTAAATAGAAACATTAAAATAAGCAATATGAGCTTGTGGGTGTTATTTTCACAGGACAAAGCTTGTTAATTTATTACAAATATTTTATTAAATATTTCAGTCCAATTTATTACTTCCATTTGATTCTTTTTGTCAAATATTTGCTCTAACTCCATTTATTATTAATTTTATTTGTTTCTTATTTGGTATTACAACAATTAATTATAAAATATGTTTTTGGATATCTTTAATATCAACTATTGGGTCTTATTCTTCTTTTTTGGCTATTTTCTTTCTTTCTCTTGAAAGAATGTTGATTGTTTTATTTCCTTTAAGGTTTTTTTATAAATTATTTAATATGGCTTATGAATAGGGTTGTGCCTTCCCCGAAAATCGGGCTATTTCAGGGGTTTCCTTTGCTACCTGCCCGAAAGTATTTAACCGTGGACCCACTTATGAATAAGCAAACATGCCATTTCATGGCTAACATGAGGATACGATGAAAAGAAATCTTTTTTAACTAACTTTGTTTACCAGAATGCATGTAATTCCTGATTCCACAATGTTTCGTTCATATTTAATAATTTATGGAATTTGTTTATTTCTTGGTGGAACTATTTCTTATTTTCAATTTAATATTATTTTAAAAATAAATACACCTTTTGGCAAGTAAAGTGTAAATTAAAAACAAAATTTGTTATATTAATTTCAGTTTGCTTTATTGTAATACTGAAGTATATACTGATTTATTAAATAATTATTATGCCGTAACAATTATTTTACTGTCTGTTTTCAATTATTTTATAATATTTTGTAAAATTATTTGGTCTTCCTTTGGGAAAAAATATTTTAAGCCAAAAAAACAAATTTCACCGAATAATGATCGGCCTGAGAAAGGTAAATTGTTGTAATACTTAACTCCAGAATCAAATTAAAATATAATGTGCTTTCCTTCGGCAAGTACTTATCTTCCATTAGAGATTAATCTAAAATATTTATTTATTAAAAAAACAATTTTAAAGATATAAAAGCAATTGTGAAAAATTCTTCTCGAATTCTCCGTTCTGTTCTGATAATTTCTTTAGTTCTTATTATTGGATGGTTATTTTCTTCTATAGCAAGAAATAATATACTTCAATTAATATTTATAATTAGCAATACTGCTAGCATTATGTATGTGGCAAATATTGTTATAACATTTATGTACATAATTACAACTGGAATTAATGCAATAATTTTAATCATTTGCAAGTAAGGACTTCAGATTTTGGGAATTCCCGATTTTTGGAGATTGGGAAAGCACGTTCTCTGATACCTACCTTAAAGCTGGTCTAAATTATCGTATTTAGCTGGCTGTGAATTATATGGACGAAAAACTTTTATAATTTTGAATGGGGTCTAAAATTCAGAAAACTATATATGTAGTTTCATCACTTTAGAAATAGAAAACATGATTTCACATTGCTGAGAGCGATACCCATACCTAAGACTTAAATTTTAAAGAAATAATTTTACTACATTAACTTTGAATTCTAAAAATTTTTTAAATTTATAGCTCAGAATACAGAAATGCATATAAATCAGTATTTGGCAAATTAATTCCAAAGAACAAAGTATCACCAAACCAGCCATTATTTATTAAAAGTGACAAGGGAAACAATAAAAATAATATTAACAATCTACAAACCTGAAGTTTTGTAAATTTTTAATGTAAATATTTTATGCATTTTAGAGTATATTTTGAGAAAACATTAAAGTTTTTAAAAATATTATTGCAATGATGCTGTGTCAAAATGTTAAATTTAAAAATGAAATATCTCATTACTAATATTCTTTACTAAAATAAATACTAATATTTTTTTTATCAATTTTATTCAATTCTAAAATTTTTTCCGAATATTTTTAAATGCATAAAGCAATCATTGTTTAAAAGAAATTGAACAATTTTCTAAAAGTTTTTTTTACAATTTTGAATTTTTTTATTAAATAAATATGCAGGTCGAACTCCATTAATAATTGAAAAATACCGATTTAAAATTTAGTTTAAAATAATAAATAAAATATATTAATTTATATAACCTTTGTATATTCCCAAAAATCTTCAAATTACAAGATTTATTAAATAATTTGTTTAAAATAATTAGTTTAATTAAATCATTTTAATTTATGTAAAAACAAATAGAAAGAAAATGATAGTTATTATTTAAAGTTGAGAGAATTTTAAGAAGAATGAAGAAATATATACCTATATCCCGGGCTTCGATCTCGAATTTTTAAAAATCCGTATTTTTGATAGAAAAAAAAATCTACATTTTATATCAAAAATCCGCAAAAAATTATCAAACACAAAAATTGAATTAAAATCACCATGCGTTATATTTTTTGACTCCAACAATTGAATTGAGCAAATTTTCACTACTAATGACTATCTTATTAAAATCCGAACAATTAAATAAAAAATTACAGTTAACTAGAGCCAATGCCTTTACCGTCCCTAGTTGTCGTGAATTGTATACCCGAAAAAATACAGAAAATCCTCATAATCTTCAAACGACCACAAAAATCCGTAAATCCGTATTTTTAAAATTAATCCTCATTACCCTATCAAAAAACCACAAAATGAGGAAAAATCCTGTGAAATCGAAGCCATGCTATATCCCTTCTCATTTTAAGAATATAATTGTGACGATTTTTGTTAAATTAATAAAACATTTTTAAGAGAATCTGGCGTTGTAAAACCTTCTGGTGAGCTTTTATAAAAAGCTTCGTGATATGTTATCAATAAATCAAAGTTTTTAGTTCCAATAAATGTATTTGAAATTAAATGAATACATTCAGCATATTTTTTAGTTCCAGCATCTATACCCAATTTATTGTGTAAATAATTAAGTAACATTTTTGAATAATAAGAAAATTCCTTTGAAAGAATATTTCTCGCTGATTCTGACAATTTTGGGATATCTTAAAAAATGTTGTTTAACATTATTTTTAATTATAATTCTAATTAGATACCTGGATTTAAAAAAGTAAGTGCCAAAATTAAACTAAATTCTTCTTTAGAAATTCCAACACGGAAAAAAGGTTCTATCGGTTTACTGTATGCTTTATTTGCCAAATTGAAGAGTCTTTAAATTTAATTTTAAGAATAATAACATAAATTTTTTGAACAGGCTTGGGGAATGGTTTTTACGGATCCCTTCCGACCTACACTTGAGTTTTAAAAAAAAATTTTTCATCAATTTTTTATGTTAAAATCTTTCCTAATTCCAATAATCGAAAGATTTGTTTAAGGAAATCATTTAGATGCCAGACAGAATACATTCTATTTAACGCCACATTCTTAAATTTTTTAAATTTTCTAAGTCCAGGAGAATCAAAAATCTCAGATAAAACTAGTTCAGAATTGATTAAGAAGATTTAAGGGATATATTAGTGGAATAAGAGGGATAATAAGCGTAAGGAAGGATATGAGAGACAATATTTAAAAAACCTCTAAACCGACTCTATCAAAACCCGACCCCTACCACATTTTTCTAACCCAAAACCCAATCGTAATTATGATGCAACTCTGATCGAAATCGAGAAATCCGCCAAATATTATTATTTAAATTTATTTAAATTTACGTTTTATCATTTTTAAAACCAAATTGATCAGTGAATGAAGCCATTGGATAAAAGCCATCTTTTCCCACGATAGTACGAGAACCTAATTCATATGAACTAAAACTATCGCCAAGCAGTACCACTGCATGTGCCACATATTGCAAAATAATTAACTTGATTTTAATTAATAAATTTAGTTAATAATTAAATAAGAAAATTGATAAAGGAATAATTATTAAATGTCCTCAGAGGAACAATTAACTTATGAGGAAGATAAATCAGTACAACCTTGTCCTTGTCCCTAGTGTATTTACTCCTTAGAGAAATTCAACATTTAAATAATATTAATAACTTGTAATAACAAACTTGATCATTGACATCAAGTTCTGGAAAGACAGGTAAAGACTTAAAAATTCCAACACAAATAAGTTTCAGAACTAAAACACATTTTGCAGCACGATAAGTATTAAATTGACAAAATCGGGCACTTTGTTCATAAAATTCAGTTGAACTAATAGGCTTTGGCATTTCCTATAATTATTAAATATGTATTAATGTACAGGATGACCAGTTAGTAATTGTACATGTTTGTAATTTATACAAATTAAAGATAACGAGAGACTTTAATAAAATTATTATTTTTGACCGAAAATTCTGATGCTTTTGAAATGATGTTTGGGCCAAAAGTTAAAACATCTTGTAGAGAATTAAGATTCATAGATAAAAATTGATGTTCATCATACTCCATAAATGCACTTTTAATTCGGATTTGTGCTTCACAAATTCTAATTAAAAATTCCATCTTAAATTACAAATATTTTCATAAAAATTTAAATGGATTACTTGATTGATTTCAACATTTACATTGGAGGATATAAAATAATTTTGTTGACCTTTAATTACAAATTATATTCCAACAAAAAATTAATTAATTTAATCGAATCTCAAATACTTTAAATTTTTATTAGCCACTAAGTAAGAGAATTGTGCGATATTCAAATTTGTGATAACCTGGATTTTACAAAGAATTTTTTCGAAAAAACAATTAATGAAAATTATTAAAATTAAAAATCTGCCTAGATAAAATTCAACCACGTCCCGATAAGGGATGGAAGGCTTGCATCTTGTAATTTCTCACTTCTTCATGCCTTTCCTAAACCCTTTTTATTCAATAAACTTATACATACCAATTGTCGTGTCATTAAAGTATAATTTATTGTTTATACAGATATTTTGATTACTTGTTGACTGGAGATATTCATTAAAATTTTTATTATTTTTAACACAATTAGTTTTTCGATCTTCTTGATAATAATTTTTCATGCTTGGTTCCTGTAATTTATTTCGACGTTTTTCTAACATTTCAATAAATACATTTTGGCGATTCATATCATCAATTTTAATCATCATAGGATCCATTCCTTCAATTAAACATTTATCAAAACGGCACCCTCTACATTTATCCCCTAAAAATATATTTAATACAATTTCAGTTTATTATATTAACTTGAGAACACCAACCATTTATTATATCACACTTTTTATTTCGTTTACAATTGACAACCTTTTGATATAAAACTGTACGCCGAAAAAATTGCTTGCAGCCTTAGAAAAAAAAAGAATTAAATTTAAAATTTCTTTTAATTATTTTAGTTAAGAACAAAACATCCAAAATAATTTCAGAAAAAAAATTACTTGGACAACTAATAACATTATAATTTCTGCCTTCACTTTGTTTTCCACAAATTTCACAACTAAGAAGTTTTGCATTTAAATTATTTTTATTCATATTTTTTAGTTAATAAATATTTAAATATATTAACAAATTCAATAAATAATTTTATTAAAAATGAGACAATAAATTTATTCAATAATTATAAATTTCATTTAAGAAAGAAAGCTAAATAAATATATTGGCACACTCACTCAATTAAATTTTATTAATATTTAAAAGATTTTTACGGAAAATCAAAAGAATATACCTGTTCCTTTTTATTTTATAAAAGCCGAGTACAAAAATGTTTAAAAAATTTTTTAATTAAAAATTTTTTAAAAAAAAGCTATGTAAATAAATATACTCTTAAAAAATAATTTTTTTATTTCTCAAAATTGAGAGAATTTTACGAAAAATGAAGAGAATACCGTAAATTCTCTAATATAAATTTGACTATAATTTCGATTTAAATTCTAATAATGTCCAAATTTAATAATAAAAGTGTCAATACAACAATTTAAATAGTATAAAAATTATTCCTAACTAATCTTGTTTCGTTCTTTTATAATTTTTTTATCTTTTATTACAATTCTTCTTGTAAAAATTACTTTCATTCAATCAAATATTTATACAAATATTTGTTTTTCTTTCTTTATAATTTAGCTTGAATTAATTCGAAAAATGAGTTGCATTTTATAAATTATATGTGTTATATAATGAACAAATTTTCTTTTAGATTAATATTGATACTGATGGTCTTCTAATTATTTTTAATTGTATGTCACATTTAAAAGCATTTTTCTGATTTATTTCCTATAGAAACTTAATTATTATTTTTAATTTATTTATAAACTTACGGTATAATATTTTTAAAACACAATAAAATTATTTAATTTTTATAAATTAATATTTTAAAAATCTAATTTATTGAATATTTTTTGTTAGAATTTTATGAAGAAAATTTATTTCAGAATTTTTATCTGAAAAAAATTAAATTAAGGTATTTATATGTATGTATTTCGAATAAAATTTAAATATGCTCTTTTGAGTAGTAAATACAATATTGTAAACAAGGGGTTTTATTGTTAAAGCAGTAGGTCGATGCATAATAAACACATATGTCTGAGATATATGTAGTGTTAAAAAAAGATGGTAACCAATTATTTTTATATTTTAAAAGATAGAATAATCAATTTAATGCCCATATCTCTTTTATTATTAATTTAATTTCTTTTAACTTAAAATTATTTAATTAAATTAATTAAAAATATAAGAAATGTTTTTGTATCTATGGTGATTATAGAGCAAATTAATTCTGTATTACGATTTTACAATTTATGATTTAAAACAATTTGTGTATAATTATTTTAGTTCATTGAAATTATTTTAGTTTAATTATAATATATTTAAATTAATTATAATAATATAATTATAATTCTTATAAGTAAATATAATTCAAATAAAATTGTTTATCTATTTAATTTATATTTTAATTCATTCTATTGTTAGAACTGATGTCAAAGTGACTTTCTTTTGTTTTAATCTTATATCTAAAGTTTCAATAAACTATATATTCAAATTAATTATTATATATTAGTTTTATTTAATTGAAGAAGAAAGTCTTGTAAATTTGGTATTTAAAATTTAAGAGAATTTAAACTCTCCACGCTTTACTTTTAATAGATTTTACGAATAATCGTTATTTAGTAATCGAGTTGAACTTCTGAATATAATTTATACTTTTATATTTTAATCTCACAAATTCAACATTTTAAATTTTATTACAGCTTTATATACTTTATTAAATAAAAATAATTAAAAAATTGATTTAAATTTTAAAATTTTAAAAAATTATTTAAATTATTTTATAAGAAATTATACAAAAAAATATTTTTTGTACCTCATAAAAATTTTTTAAATTTATGTTCTCAAATTAAATATGTAAGTATTTTTACTTTCTTGGAATTTTCAATAACCTTTTTCATGAAAAATTTCATAAAATATTAATTGTTTGTCTATAAGTTTTATCAGTTCCTCCATATGTGCGATTCTATAGTGAATTTGATGATGGAAAAAGAAATATACATAATAATTATAAATATTATAGAATTATGTATGTGTACAATCTTAATATTGTATTTTTACTATTTATATTTAAAAATGCATACAAATATTTATTTAAAAATATCTATTGTTTTAAATTTAAATAAATTAAAGAGAAATAGCCTTCTAATAACAAATAGTTCAATATATAAAATTTTCAATTTAAAAATTAATTTATAATAAAGAAGTTTAGCTTTTTAATACAAAAATAGAAAATATATTTTATTCAATAGTTTTTGATAAATATGTATACTATTTATCAATGCTTAAACTCAAATATTTAAATCTCAAATAATATTTACTCAAACAATTATTTTTTAACTCAAATTTTATATTTTTATCCATCAAACAATTTTATATAGTGGGAAAGGGTGAAGCTTAAAAGGGAAAAGAATGGCTAAGAAAGTGAATGAATTAATCGTAAAATTGAAACATTTAAATAAACAAGTTTTAGATGATTAAGCAAAAAAAGAGGGAAAGTTTAGAGCAAAATAATAATTTTATTTTATACAAAAATAATATTATGCTTAATGGAAAAATATACAAATAATTTTATAAATATTTTGTTTGAATTTTATTATTTTATAATTCTAGTATAATTATTATATATGTATATAAGCTGTTTCACTTTTGTCTTCTATCCAAAGATTGAATAACAAACATCTGAAGATATTTTATTTCAAATAATTTTATTTTATTCTAATATAAATTATAGTTTATTTTATTTTGTATTTTGTTATTCGTAATGAAATTTTCAATATTATGTTAATAAAATTATTTTAATAAATGACTAACTGCTCTTTTTAAAAGTGATACTTATATGATTAATGTAAATAAATATCTCTAAAATTAATAATAAATCTTTTGCGGCATCTCCTTTTGAATAGTTTTATTTAGGGATGAAGCTGCTTTTACACAATTAGTGTTTAGTTTTAATTACAACAATCAAATGATATAATTTAATTTAGCCATTATTTAATTTATTAAAGAAGAATATTTTTGATAAATTATATAAATTCGTTTATAAATTATAAATTATATTTAAATTATTTAAAAAAGATTAATGTCTTTGAGAATCCTCGTTTTATTTTATATTTGAATTTATATTTTATAATTAAGTTTTTGTTTATTTCTTACTTTTTCTAATCAAAGCTTTTATTTTTAATTTAATAATTTGACCTTAGTTATTTTTTAGTTGATTTATTTATAAATGTTATTCCGGCTTCATCTTTAATAGATTTACATATTAGGTATTTGAAGTTAATTTTTGATTTAATAAATAACAATTTATGAATTTTGATTAAATTTTATTAATTAATAAAATTATTTTTAAAAAATAATTTTTTATAAATAATTATTAAATTATTTTTTAAAATTATTTTATAAATTTTATTAATACATATTACTCTTAAAATAAATTTGATAAAATTTTTAGCCATATTTTAAAAATTTAATTGAAAAAAATCTAATTTTCCCACAAATGTTTTAAATCATCTTATAGTTCTCATCTTTTATTTTCAACTACAGTCAAACAATTACTTTATTGGTTAAAAAATTTAATATTAATTTATAAATTAAAATAAATTTGAAGCACCATTGATTACTTAAATTTTAGTTGTTATATTCTGACAAATATATATTAAATAGGTAAATATAAATATTAAATAAATATTAAATTAATTATCAAGTTATATATAATATAACCTTTAGTAAATGATTCGATTTAAAAATATTGATAATAATATGTCCTGTTCCTTTATAATTTGTTAGTGTACTGAAGGCCAAGTATTTATCTCTAATTAAATTTAGTATATAATTTAAAATATTTTTATGTAATATAAATATATTCAAATATAAATTTAAATTTTTAGTTGCGCTTTTTAATAATTTAAATTTACTTTTTCATTTAAAAAATAATATACATACAATTTGTTTTTATTGTTTCTTATATTGTTTATTAATATTATTCTTTTTTTAATGAAAATTTTACATAATTTATTTGTAAAATTTTAAATGTATTTATACAGGGTGACAAGAAAGTAACTGCACACCTATTTTTTTATAACTCTATTCATTTTTAAGATAATGAGGTCAAACAAAGCTTAAATAATAGAGAATTAAATAAGGAACAGATATTATCCAGAATTTTTGAAGTACGCACCCCTTGCTTCGATACAGAGTCGAAGGCGCGTGGAACAATTTTGGTGAAAAGTTCGCACCTACTCGGGCGAGATTTCCTTCCATTCACGAATGAGTGATTATCGAAGCAACTCAAAACTTTTGGGTTATTAAGAGCAGACACTAGCCTCAAAAATTGACCTAAAAGAAAAATCCGAAGATTCAAATCAAGGGAGTACGGTAGCCATATCTGAGACAGTTTAATACTGGGTAATTGGCTGTGCAACAACAATGCATTGCTTTTGTCTTATACACAGGGGATGAATTCCCTATACCAAAAGTTGCTTCTGAGACAAGGCTCCAAAGTACCATTAAAGATTTACCGTAGATACTAGTTTTTATATATTTTAACCTTAGGGTTCACGAAAATTAAGAGATTTTGATCGTTTTGCAAATAAAAGCTCATATCATTTCAACATAAGGGTGATGTGAATCCTAAACAACTTTATAAGAAAGAGGAGGTCTAGTGGCCCAATATCAGTCATTTTTACGATTCGGAAATATCTTGTTCATAAAAATTTTTTCGGGTGAAAAAAGTGTCACTTGACGTGCGAAGAAAAATTCGTGCGAAGAAAAATTTCCCAGAAAATTTCATACAAGAATTTTTTAAAAAATTTTCGACAGTGCTTTTTTGAACTTTGGGAGGAGTTGAAATTTTGCGGACGCTAAATCATTTAGAAAACGGTTGAATAATGGAAAAGGGCCTATAAGCCCTGAAAGAGAATTGATTTGTCTACAAAATGGGTATAAAAATTTAAAAAAATTTAAATTAAAAAAAAAGTTATGGCAAAATA